GGTTTTTAAAATGTGGTCATTTTTAGGAAGCCCACCATCGAGATGTGGTCATCTCTACCTGGGCAGTCAAAACTACAACAAATAAGTCACGTACGATATATGCCCCTAATATTCTAGAATCAGTATAATATTGTCCGAAATATAGAAAGAACCCTGCAGTATATGTATGACAACCCTTGAAAAACACTATTTTACACCAACGTACAATGAGGTACTTTGGTTCCCTAATGCAGCTTGGAAGTGAGCATCATGTAATATTAATGAAGATGAATTTACAGCCATCCAACCACTACATAGTTCTCATTTATAGGTGTTATCTTTAGTTTAAGGACCCCTGTGGTATTTTATTGCTGTGCATAAGGGAATGCCACTTGTTAAGATGTACACTGTCCCATAAGTTGATAGAGGAAATTTTATGACAATAGACAGGGGTGTAGCCAGAAAAAAATAAGGACTGAGGCAATATCCATGGTTGAATTCCCCGCCTAGCTATTCAGGGTCTTTATGGTGACTACGTTGAAACAAAACACTGCCAGGATCAAACCTTAAATGACTGAGGCAAGTGCCTCGGTTTGCCTCATACTGGCTATGGCCCTGACTGTAGGAAATACAGTGCATCAATGATCTGACTACTGGACCTTAATAACGAGTAGATTTGAATTAGTGTATTTGCTTTAAATTAGAAGCCTGGGAAAGGTTTATGCCAGGGGTGCTGTCAGAAAGGGACACCTTTTTCATGCTTCAGGTATGAAAGGATAGGGATTTCCTGAGTATATGACAGGGTAGACTATCTGTCATTTCGTTCTGTAACAAGACTAACAGAAGAAATTTGTGACTGTAAAATTGCCAAAAAAATTAACTGGTTTCTTATTCCTTTATATTAAAATGACAGTGCACATAACACAGTTAACAGGAAAGATGCATGTAAGGGGTTGGACCTCTGGGCGTGTACAAAAATTTATTGTAACAATGTAATGTTACAGTTGAGATTGGAAATTTACTTTACTTTAGTCACAAAACGAATCAAACATATAGGAAATGTCACATGCACATCACCTTTGACTGTCAGCAAATGTTATGCAGTTCACTATATTTGCTCCCCTTGCAAATATGGATAATTATGATGCAAATGTGCAAATTTATCATACAGCCAAATGTCTAGAAATTTATTGTTTTCGCTCTTAAGGCAAATACGAGTAAACCACATGCAAAAGTGTTCTTTTGGTATCCTGGAAAAACAAGAGCAAACACCACTGCAAATTAGGGGTTTTGCAATATTTTTGCCTGCATTTGAAGTAAAGTGAAAACTGTCATTTTTGCCAAGTATGTAAATTTGAGTAAATTGGTAGAAATGTTGATGATTTGCCCATGCTGCAAATATGTATGAAATTTGTATCAAACCATTACATTTACTTCACTTTTGCGTATCAATACCTATCTAGCAAATATATGTATTTGCTCACACTTTAGCCGACAGCGCAAATTTAATGCAAATTTGGAGCTCCAAATTTACCACATATTTGCACCTTTCGCAAACATCAGTAAATCCGTTTTTTCGTCCAGTGTACTTAACCATATCTTCAGCTGTATCTTCTATTCAGCTGCTTAGCCGAGGCCAGATTTTGCTAGTTCCTAGGCGAAAAATCATCGTCCTTGGACAACATATTGTGGAGTATAAGACGTAGTTCTGGAAAGAACTGTTTATTTAATTAATCCAAGCAAGAGAGGATAAAGGGGACAGAGAAGGCATCCTCCATACACACCCTATTCCATAGGTAAATCGTCTCGAGTTATTTTTAAAACCACAGATCCCAAGGGGGATTAGACAACAGCCAATCACATAGCGCGAATGTGTTCCGCGTGGATGACCCACGCTCAGAGCCACGCGTCCTTCACGAATTGAGGCAGAAAAGAATGGCGGAAGACGCGGAGAGCAATATTGCTATTCGTTTTGTCGACGAAAACGACTAAAGAGAGATCTCTGCTAAAGCTGTGTCAGCGAAACGGAAATTAAAAAAGAATCGCCCTTCCTTTCTTGTATAGAACTAACAGTACAGCAGGGAAATCCTTAACACAGTGAATATTCTTTCAGGATCATTTATAATTTACAGTTTGAAGAGAGCAATTTCTGGTTTGATATTTATTCTTTTATTAGTCTTTTATTATTCAACAAAAATAACACTTGGCGTCCTATAATAATAATAATAATTTCATAACTTCTAGAGCGCTATTTACATTCACTGATCAACAGCGCTTAACAACTTAAAAAAACTACAATAAAATTCAAATTTGTAAAACTAATTACATGTACATGAATATTACTTGCTACTTCCTTTATTGTACAAACGACCGGTTTCAATAGACCGGCGAAATTTCTCATTTTATTAAAGCACTGAGGTTACGATAACATCGAGTTAAACTGATTTCACGGGTTGTCAGAGAGTCGAGCGATTCCCTTTTCCCAGGTAAGCGCCGACTCATTTCGCTTCAATATTCAGAAATGCTCTCGATCTCTTTACGCTTTCATTGCCTTTCGCCCGACATGTTTTGCATGGCATTTAGTCATGCGAAACCTCCACAACACATCCACGCAGCGCGCGAGGTAACTTTATCCCGATTCTAAAAATAACTCGAGACGAATTACCTATGGAATAGGGTGTGTATGGGGGATGCCTTCTCTGTCCTCTTTATCCTCTCTTGATCCAAGCAAGTAGGTCCCGTAGAGTCAAGAACCTATGCAAGCGGCTGGGCGAACAATGTAACAGCAGCTGTGATAGCGAACGTTAGAAGAATTTGAACTTGAAAACCAGGGTCGCCCTGTTGCAAACTTACGAACGGTCGCCCGATCGCCTTTTGTTTTCTGGTGAAAACTAACGCAGCGGACTCCCGCTCAGTGTTGATTGACCTAGAAGCAATAGTACCATCCCTCCCATAGCAAGTGCTGCATTGTCGCGCGGACGCGGTCGCTAAGCTTGAATACACTCTTTTTTTTCTATAAGAATACATTTTATAAGAATATCGAGGCTGAAATTTGCGAAATTTTAAGAATATTTTAAGAATAAACCCCAGGCTGAGGTTTTGAAAAGGATGTTATTTTGTGTGTTCAAAAACTGTAAATACCACACAATTATGTTTTCAACATTCCATCCTCTGAACGGTTGCCAACAATGAGCAAAAACCGATTATCTTGATACCCCAATATATTCTAAAACAGACATGTCATAAGCTAAAATTTAAGAATAATACAAGAATATTTTCAGCCTAAAATCGGCAGAAAAATAAGAATATTCAGCCTGGGCCGGAAAAACAACATTCTTATATAAAAAAAAAGAGGGTATTCATCGTCGCGTATTAATACTGCCAATTTGCGGTCATGGCGAAGGGTAAAGGTCGACAGTGTTTGTTGATGAGCGAGCGATTATCGTGCAGTTGCGGTGGGTGGAGCCAACGAGAAAGAAGCCGGAGCACACGTTACCTATTTGGAGCGGATTTGTCGATTATTCTTAAAATTTATAGCGCTTCGCGTGGAGATGGTCCTTTTGGTTTGTAGCCAGCCTTTAATTCTTCTTTAGTGGGTAGTACCTAAGATTGCAAAACTCAACAACATGCCACTTTACCCGGCCGGGAAGAAGAAGGAGACGTTCCGTTAAAGGAATCTTAACTTCGTTTTGTTATATTTTGACTTTTGGACTATTTTCGAGGACTCATCCGATTTTGTCCATGTGAATATTAATATATTGACACACCACGTTTGGGCCGCCTGTGATCAACGTTGGTAATAAAAGCTATGGTGATAATTTTCCAAAAAGCGAACTCGAACAAATTGTTTCCTTAGCAAAGTGATTGCAACAAAGATAGCGCTAAAATATTTTTGGAAAAAAAAATCAAAGATCACTCCATAATGACCCCACTAGTGCAATGACTCCCCCACAAATGTTTCAACCAGTGATTGAAACATGCGTTGCGTGACAAGCTAGTCGGGGCTGTGGATAAACGAGATAAAGGTCTCTTGCCTATCAGAAGAGCGTTTATTATTTTATTTTCAGTGTATTTTTCCTAAATACCTCGACCAAAGGTTGGACTCTTTTCGTTGCGAAGTACCTTTATTGCAATGCATACACTCTGAGTCAGCGCTGATAAAAACTGAACTTTTGTGCGTCTGGCGCTCCTCACTAGCCCCGAAATTTCGAAACAGTTGCCAGAAGTTGCTCGAATTTTACAAAACGTTTCTCGTTAAGGAAAATCAAAATGACAGGGTTCACAGCTTCATTATTTCACGCGGCCGAAGCGTTTCGGGTCACGTGGTCCAAGCGAAAATGTGAGGCCTAGACAAAAATTCTCAAAAGTGAGACAGCTCAATGGCGGTGGTTTACAAGACCAGTGTTTCGCATTTCAAGGTTACAAATACACTGCTAAGGACCAATGGAAGGGGAAAGTTCAGAAGAATGCTTAGTTTCCTTTTAGTGGACAAGAGAGGACTTTTCTTTACAAAATTGTCCATCGAGGAATTCGAAATTCACGAAATTTTCATCACAGAAAACGCAACCGGCAACGCAACCAAGTAGCGAAGTTTTTGAATAATTTTCAGGTACATTTTGTACTCTATAATCAACCGCCATGACTGGACGTGGGCGACACGTCTGTGTCATATTTTTCCTTTTTTGCACAAGCGGTTTCTATTTATTATCTTTGAAGCATGGCAGTAACAGTGACGAACGTGGTATGGACGATAGGTCTCGTTTGGAAGCTTTTCGAGGCGACATTTGCAGTTCGCGGAGGATACTTCTACCGAACAACTCCGCTTTTCCCGCAATCTTCGTCACTCTGACCGAGTTATACGAAGAAAGAAGAAGGGTTACACCTAAAGCCGGTTACCTTATTACAGTAACTATGTTTCAACTTTCAATATCGAGTTTATTTGCAGCCACGGCGATATTTATCCCCATCCAGGTCCACAAAATGGTCATCGGAATTTGAGAGTAAGCAGTGAGAGGAGCAATATGGCATATGCAAATTCTAGTTCAGATGTATCTGTCTTTCACGCCAACCCAAGGAGTTTGGTTGACAAGATTGATCAGCTAGAACTGGAAATTGCTACCTATCGATATGATCTCATGGTATTTACGGAGACTCATTTGGACAGTTCAATTTTGGATAGTGAACTATTTCCTTCAATTTACACGGTTTTCAGGTTTGATCTTGCTCAAAATGGTCGACGTGGTGGTGGTATTTTGATAGCTGTACCACAGGCAGCCCAAGCGCACTATGTTTGGGTTTGGGCTTCAGAGGTATACTACTAGAATTATTAGTGTATTATCTGATGCCAAATAAATGCAAAAATCTTAAAGATATGAAGTCTTCTTGTTTGTCTATCAGTACTACTAGCCTTTAAGATAACGAAGGTCGAGATTTCTTGCGGCCGGCCGGCCGTAGGACACAGAGTGACTATGAACTAAAGGTAAGGGAGCTTTTTGAATCAATATTTCGCGTGATCATGATTTTTTTTCTTAGCGTTGTAGCTTCGAATACATGTGATAAAATTCGAACAATAAGGGCCTGCGCGAATCACATGTAATAATGCAAGAAATCTCGACCTTCGTTATCTTAAAGGCTACTAGTACAGATAAACAAACAAGAAGACTTCATACCTTTAAGATTTTTGCATTTATTTGGCATCAGATGATACACTAATAATTCTATTATATTCCAACCAAATGACCTCTGAGGCCTAAACCCAAACATAGTGCGCTTGGGCTGCCTGTGGCTGTACGAAACACGTTAAGAGCGTCAGTCAGACAAGACGTTAGTTTCGATTCGGAATTATTATTTGTCGATATTCTATTCTCAGCGAATAGAAAAATCAGTTTAGGTGTCTTTTATAGGCCGCCCAACAGTAACATTAATTGCCTGTTATATCTACAAGCGGCTCTTGATAATGTGCTTTCATAACCAAACTCAGAAATGGTTCTTGTTGGCGACTTCAATATTCCCGAATTCGACTGGAACACTAACTGTGCCTCTGTTGATTCACCCAACGCTACTTTGTTATCAGATATTATACACGACAATTTTCTCTTTCAGCTAGTCCAGGATCCAACTCGCAACGGAAATATTTTAGACTTGGTGTTCGTTTTGTCTTTCGACCTAGTTTATGATCTAAAAGTTGGTCTGCCCTTTTCTGACCCTAAATCGATCTCTATGCTATTATCGAGAAACCGTTCCCTGGACGGAAATCGCAGAAGTTAAGCTATTCCTTCAAGAAGGCAGACTGGGATCATCTCAGGAATCTTTTACATTACACTCCATGGCATCATAGTTATTAGAGGAGACTGGTTATGAAAAGCGGCAAACATCAATGATAAAAACAACAGTGCTGCAGTTTATGTTCAAAGCACCGTGAAAGTGCACAATCCTTTGTTTTCTGTTGGCAAATTGTTACGGAATAAATTAATGCAACGTTTTTATTGGTCAATACAATCAAAATGATAGGAATTCTTTTGAACGTTGTGCACTTTCAGGTCCACAAAAACATATAACAAAGGAGTCTGACGGGTTTCATAACCATTCCACTCAATTAACTATGATGGCATAGTGCTTTTATGGGATACTGACATAGATCGTATATGGGCTGCATGGTCTGATTTGTTTTTATCTGCTGTCGACGAGTGTATCCCAAAGCGGACAGCGAAGAGAAATTCAAACGCACCATGGATAAGCGGGGATCTAATTAAAATGTGTAGAAGAAAGAAAGCGGTTTATAAAAGGGCAAAAACAAAACTGTGCTCTGACTGACTGGGACAAATATCGTAAATTTAACAATTATGTGAAGAAGGAGTGCAACTCTGCGCGTAGGCAGCTTGTAAACAATCTGGCAGATGAATTAAAGACAAGTAACAGTCCAAAGCCTTTTTGGAACCTTGTTCAATCAAAGAGAAAAGTTAAGTGTGACCTAGTGTCCTTAAAGGTGAACGATTCGTATCTTAACGACGACCTAAGTATTGCCAACTGTATGGATTCTTATTTCTCATCGGTCTTTACTATTGAGGATCGCGAAAACTTTCCCGACCTCGATTATATTACCGACAAGAAATTATGTAATATCTTTTGTTCTGCCACTGAAGTTGACAAATTGATAAGAAATTTGAATATCTAGAAATCCCCTGGGCCAGACTGCATATTACCTCGCATCCTAAGAGAATGTGCTCAAGTGTTGTCATCTCCACTGGCTTTATTTCTGAATACATCATTCTCTCAAGGTCAACTACCATGTATATGGAAGTCGGCCCACATCACTCCAGTTCACATGAAAGGGAGCAAAAATCGTATGGAGAACTACCGCCAAATGTCACTGACTTGTATTGTATGCAAGATTGCAGAAGCTGTGGTAAGGACCCGTGTGGTTGACCTTTGGTCAGATCTCAATCTTTTTAACCCAGACCAGTCTACGTATCTATTAAAGGGGCTATACGTTGGCACAATTATTAACATGTTACAACGACTGGGCAAAGGCTAGGAATCGTTCGCAACAAACGGACAGCGTGCCACATGAGCGTTTGTTGCTGAAACTACAAAGGTAAGGAATAGATGGCTCTCTATTTCTGTGAATTAGAATTTTCTTGACGAATAGAAGGCAGCGGGTCGTGTTAAGGGGCAATTGTTCAGATTGGTCATTCGTGATTTCAGGCGTGCCCCAAGGAACAATACTCGGCCCAATCTTATTTATCATTTATATAAATGATATTTCGACAAACATAACATCAACAGTCAAAATCCACGCTGATGACACCAAAATCTATCGCACGATCAATGTGCTTGATAAGGATATCTCAGCCTTACAGCTTGACCCGAATAGATTAAGCAATTGGGCCTAACAAGTGGCAGTTGCGCTTTAATCCCGAAAAATGTGAAGTCATGCGTGGAACGCACAGTAGGGACAGATCTAAGCCAAGTTACTCGTAGGTGTGCAACTAAAATCTGTTGAAACTGTCAAGGACCTAGGGGTCACAATAAACTACGATCTATCTTGGGGTAAACACGTCTCCTACATAGTAAACATAAGGCGAACAAAGTGTTAGGTGTAATTAAGCGATCACTCGGAAACGGCAATCGGCATGCGTTTTCTTGCCTCTTTAAGTGGCTGGTAAGACCTATACTCGAATACGCTGCCCCCGTCTGGAGCCCCTACCAAAAAAAGGATATCGAATCCTTGAAAAAAGACTAAGGAAGAGCATCACGGTTAGCCTTAAAGCAAAAAGCGCGGAGAAATGAGCTATGAAGACCGCTGCCGCTTACCGAATTGGCAAACTCTGGAGAAACGTAGAGAGTTCTTATCTCTAGTTCAGTGCTACAAGATAGTTTTTGGAATAGATAGCCTTCCTTTTTCGGACTTTTTTGAACTTACTAAGTGTAATCGAACTAGAGCCAATCACGATTATAGGCTCTATGTAAAAGTTGTCATCATAAATTGCTACAAATATTCTTTCTTTGTACGGCTCGTTAATGCGTGCATATAACTTGCCTAAAGATGTTGTACACGCAAGATCGCTGACTATATTTCGCAACAGATTAAGGATTTATATGAATGTTGATAAATACGATTGTAAATGGTTTTAATTATGATATGCAAACGATGTTTTTTATTCTAGTTTTTAGTTTTTAGATTTTTCTCTCTGTATATATAATGTTTTAGATTCTAGATTTTTATTTTGGGGAATCTTTTATATAGGGTTGACCTCTAGATATCCCCTTTCGAGAGATATTTTGTAACTTTAGTTTTTATCTCTTAAATAAAGTATTGTATTGCATTGTATTGTATTGTTTTTAAATGGAAATTTATGTATTTGTAAATATTTCATCCTAGACGTTTTAAACATTTTGAGATCGGCTTGACTCCCTTATTTGAGATTTGTGTTGAATAATTTTTGCTACGTGCTCAGCCGATAATAATTTCTCTGTCTGTTGTTGTGTGTTCTTTCATTGATAACATAAGCTCAAAACACGATCCTGAAACAACAGCATCCAAGTTGAATTTAATGCTTCTCACATTACACACATCACTTCTGCGAATGTCGGCGAGTTTTATAGGATTTTTACTTTTTAGGTTCAGTTTTGGGCACGTTTCGATACCCAGCTAATGACTCAAATTTGAAACTATGTTTTTCTGATTATTAAAGATTTGCGTTCTAAGTTTACTACACAGAGGGTTACTAAGGTATTGTTTTTACTTTGAAAATTCGCTGTCGTTTTTGAAAATGGGTTAAGAGTTGCACACTCCGATAACTCAGTTGGAATGACGAGATTGAAGGAGTAGAATCAATATTCACAGGACTATGAATAACATTCTGACGACTGTTCAAAGCCAGTCGGCAAAAGTCGATCCCGCAAATATCTACAAGGGTTTCAAAAAACCTAATTTCCTGCTGTTTACAACATCAACAACATCGATCTGAATTTCACAAAAGCAACACACCCATGCGCTTCTGTTTTTTATCTAGGCGTTTCCCGCCCGTTCGCCTTGGATACGTCACCGAAGTGAATTGACCGAGAGGGACTGGGAAAACGAGGCACAGTGACTAGGCGACTAGGCAAGGTTGACAGCCATTTTTGCGTTTTTTTTTTTAAGACAAACGCCGCTAGTGAAGTGCAATAATGTAATTTAAAACTACCGCCTTGTTTGCCCTGTAACAAAACTGCTGCAGGTGACGTTCAAAGGGACAGTGTGGAATGTCATCCGTTTTTTACTTAACTCGTGGTTGCCGTGAAATAATTCGTGACAATTATCACCAATTAATAGTTACAAGAAGGAAACAAAAAAAGAGCAGTGAAATTAGGCGTAAAAGTGCGTATTAAAACTGCGTTTCTCGAAAGTCCCGATAATTAACGGGCCCGGTAAGCTGTCTCTGTTTACATTAAAGATCGAGGTCTCAATAGTTTGGCATCTAATATGATAAAACTATAGTTAATGAAACAAAATTGAGTAGTTTGCTAGCTAAGACCCGCGCTCTTACTCTTTATACTGTATTTCGATTTGAATATTTGATTTCGGCCCGGAAAAATTACATGGACTTGCGAGAAACGGGCACCAGGTGATTTATTCAACCTATAGTACTAGAAATACGTGAATCGCAGGACCTCGCGAAGAACTTCTGGAGAACATGATGACCCGCAAGCCTTGGATACGTGTACGCATCTGAATTGACCGATTGCGCAATATAAAACAAAGGAAGTGTTGACAACATAGTGCAGGACCGAAGTTCGGAAACCATGAGAAACCCCTGGAACTTATTACTCGCACGTCATCTTGCTAATTCATATGACATTTTATTCCGACAGGAGCAATTAACACAATCAAAATATGCTTTTGTCCCCAAACGATAACCGGAACCTCCGTAAATACATCTTCGATTCTATTTTAAAAATTTTCAAAGAGAGCAAGTTCAGAACACTCGGCCTCTTTACTTAAATTTATTTACATTGTGCGGGCCGCGCCGAAACGTTTCTTTGTAACTACCACGTAAATCAAAGTTTCCTGGTGATTAAAAGCAAAAGGACGCCCGCGAGGAGAACGCGCGACCACCAAAATATTGTTTTCGAAATGTAACCGCATTAGCAGAGATTCTCCGCGAACGGATCGCAACAGTATTGTTCTAAATAAATATCAAAAAGAAAAAGAAAAGCTTTTTTCCGAATAAACGGTTACGTACTGTGCTTTCCAGTTTCTAGGACGTACTAAAAGTGCCGGAAATGGGAATTTTGCCACGCATGTTTTATTTGTAACGAGAAAACAAATCTTTTACTAAAAAATGCCGAAAAATATAACTGGCAGAGGGTCTCCTACAAGAAAATCTCCTATTAAAAAACACTCTAAGACACACATATAGCTTTGGTAGCTTGTAAACCCCTTAATTTTCCAGTTATTGCGCAAGTGATTTCATAATACCTTGGTGTCT